TGTGTGTGTGTATGTGTGTGTTTGTGTGTGTTTGTGTGTGTATGTGTGTGTTTATGTGTGTGTGTGTTTAAGTGTATGGGAGTGTGTTCATGTGTGTTTATGTGTGTGTCTGTGTGTGTGTGTCTGGTCCGTTTGTAAATATGCCATTTTCAGTTGTTTAGTTTTAAAAAGAGTTTTACGGCATCTGCAACACAGCAAGCTCATATAAATGCCGAAAGAATAGATGTGTTACAAGAGAGTACCAAACATAAAAAGGAAGGAGGGGAGACGAGGACGATAAATAGCTGTTTGAAAGGAAAGAAGGAGCAAACCACTCCAAAGCACCCGCCAACCAACCACTTTTGGAGTTGACAACGATCAATATTATTATGTTTTCATCCTCAGACATGATCGCCTGCGTAGACCCCGACAAATGTGAACAGTATTGCGAGAACCCGGTGGGATGCTCCAATGTCGCCTACCCTAAACTGGTGCTGGAGCTCATGCCAGTGGGTGAGTGAGATTGAAATGTTTCTGTTATACGGGGTGCCCGCTACGGCTGGATCGGCCCCGATCGCCCGACTCGATCGCCTGAAACTGAAAACAAACACGTTTGTTTGTGAGGCCTTCGAGTCGGGCGATCGAGTCAGGCGATCGGGTCGATCGGCCGATCCCATCCGTAGTGGGCATCCCGTATTAGCCAAAGTGTAATGTTGTTTGGACCCGACTTTGACGAAGTGCTGGACAACATGGTCGCTTTTAAGGACAAGCGGGCTTACCCAGATTTCGGGGGTTTCCAGAAATCTTGACTTACACCAAAAGTGGGCATTGCCCTACATATAGGAGTAGTTTGGTTTAATTGGTGCGTATATTTGTTTGATTATAGGGAAAACTATCCTTGTCTTTTAAAGAAACTGAACAAGGGGCAAAAACTTTACCTTCGGTTTTCTCAAAACAACATTTTTCGGGATAGCCCCCTTGTGCTAAAAAGCGACCATATAATAATAATAAATAATAAATAGCATTTGTATAGCGCATATCCCCGTTCAACAGCAGCCTCTATGAGCTTTACACTATAGTATTACCCCAGCAGACCATAGAACACTTCGAAACATTCTCAGCTTCCCGGGAAGCATACAGTACAAGCAGCTGATTAAGCGCTCAAACACTTACAAACTGACAAGATATTTCGCTGTCTATAGCCGGGTACCCATTCCTACCTGGGTGAAGTGAGGAAAATTCGCGTAGTGTTTTTCCCAAGGACACAACGTCGGGCACCTGACGGGATTCGAACCCACGACCTTACGGTTGCGAGCCCGAGAGCCTAACCACTAGGCCACCGACAACATTATCCCCTCCACTGCCTGGCCCGAGGCGAAGAGGGGAAGGGAATTCCTGTGTCACATACACATTCACAGTTTTATTTGAAGTCAACGAAAATTCACACAATTCTTTGTGGCTTGTGGCTTACTTTTGTTTGTGTTTGGAACAGCGGGGAGGGGGG